GCTCCGGACCCCCACAGCTCGCATGGAAACTTCTGGGGTTGCGTTTCCCGAGTGGGAATGGCTCCAGAGGGGTGAAGGTACCTTGGGCAGCCCCCGGGGTGACCGATGTCGCTGCTGGCCGGCGCTTTTTGGGGTGTCTGTTGTCCTCGGGGCGCTGCCGGACACTTGCGGGGTGCCGGGCCGGGTGTCACGGCCAGGGGGGCTGTGACGCACGGGGACAGCTCGCCACGAGGCTGTGCCGGTGACTCAGGGACACGGGGACAGGGGCGTGGGTCACATCGGTCACCCTGAGTCACCCACAGCCAGCAGGGTGAGCACCTCCATCCGTGTTCTCCGAGCCCTTCCTGGGGATCCCGGAGCGGAACCCCCACCATGGAGCTCGGCCGGGCTGGGCTGGTCCCCGCAAAGCCGCTGGGTCCGGGGGCAGTGGAACCCACCCGTGTGAGGCTGGGGCGGACACGGAAACGCGGCGTGTGTGTCGGAAAGAGCTCCCTCTGTTTGTGAGCCCTTGTGGTGCCGCTGATCGCTGATCTGCGCCTTCCAGCCCAGCAGAAAAGGAGCAATAATGTGAATTACAGCCGGGGCTGAGGGCGTGTGGTGGCACTGAGGGACGCGGCTCTAAAGCAAACCGGGCCGTCCCCAGCGCAGGGGATGTGTGGGAGCACATCTGCACCCCTTGGTGTGCTGAGAACAGGCAACTCACGGCATCAGTGAGAGCTGCTGCAGCTCCCTGAGCCCTTCGTGGTTATATGGAGGTGCTGCAGCCCCCTGAGCCCTTCATGGCTACATGGAGATGCCAACCCTGCCTTAGATCCTACCACAGCTCCTGCCTTAGATCCTAGCCCCTGCTCCGCCATTACAATTCCCCCGTTTTTCCTCCCATTTTATTATTCTAGGGGTTTGGTGTTTTGGGCCGTGGGGAAGGAGCAGAGATGGCTCTCAGCTCCCCCTCCCTGGTCCAGCTAGGCCTTGGGTGATGCTGCAGGCTGCAGCCTCTGCAGCTCCAGGACACGGACGAGGAGGAGGAAGGCGATGCTCAGCAGAAGCAGCCAGAAGAAAACCCAGTAGTGCTGTGGGAGGAAGAGCCATGGACGCCACAGCTCCTCTGCAGAGCCCTTGGACCTGGGGAGAAGGTGACCAGGGACATTTGTCATCTGTGGGAGAGAGCAAATCCCACCTCCACCCCAGCTGGGGACAAGGAGGATGTTTAACTCAGCCACAAAACTCCCTGGCAAACCTTTTACAAGCTCAAGTGAACAAGCCTGAGGAGGGCATGGGCAAAACTGAGCCCTGGTGGGGCTGAGCTGAGGCAGCCAAACAACACCCCAGCTTTTCACCCCTAAACCCCCCATCCCCTGCCCAAGTTCTGACCACCTGGGGAGCACAGAGAGGCCAGCAGCCATGGGGGGATGCTGGGCACACCCAGGGTGCTGCTCACGTCATCCCAAGCTGCTCTGGCTCCTCGTTCCCTGTACTGGATCCTCTGCCCTCTGCCTCTGCCACCTGCTTCCCAGTCACGGCGCTGTGCTGGCCCTGTGGCTCCAGCTCACTCCTGGGGAGGGAGAGGATGGGTCAGTGCTGTGCCACATGGGGACAGCTGGATCAGCTGTGCCAGGGCTGCCCGGCCACCCAGCGCAGTTACCTGGGGGTGCTGGGCCAGCGCTGGGCACCCTCTGGCTCCAGGTCACCTGCTGGGGCTGCTCGGCTCTCAGGGCTGGCACCTGGCTGGGCACACAAGGGGGGAGCATCAGTGGGGACACAGAGCCCCAGTGGCACCCAGGCTGGGGACACAGAGCCCCAGTGGCACCCAGGCTGGGGACACAGCTGCTGTCAGAGGGGACACAGCCCCAGTGGCACCCAGGCCTCTGGCTGTCCCCACCCCACACGTCCTTACCAGGAGCTGCTTGGGGATGACAGCGATGCTGACCCTGCGGCGGGCAGACCCCTGAAACAGAGGGGGTGAGGGTGAGCTCTGTGCGGCTGCTTCTCACCTCTTCATTCCCCATCACCTCCCCAGCACGGGTAAGGGACACCATGGGACACTGCCAGCTCCCCCTGGAGCTGAGGGGAAGCTGGAAAGCCAGGGAAGGTCAAAGCCAAGAGGTTTGTGCCTGTCATTTCTGCTGCTGGGGCTGCCTGACCCCCTGCCCTACCTCTGGATCAGTGTGGGATTCAAGGAGGTGCTAAAGAACAGCCAAGCCTGTGACCCTGCAATGGAAGAAGGATCTGCCCAAGATCTCTTGCACAGGCAGCCCTCAGCTTGCTGGGCATCCTGTCTGCCTACCAACAGCTCTCTGAAGCTGCATTCTGCTTCATCCCAGCAGATCTTCCCTGCAGCAAGCAGCTGGCTGCAGTGGCATTGTTTGGGGACAAGGGGGTGTGTGGGGACAGTCAGTTGAGGGAGGGCAGCAGGGCATGGGCAGGCAGTGGCTCCTGAACTGGGACCAGTTACCTGCTGGAAAGTTCTCTTCAGGGGGTGAGGTCTCAGCCGTGGCTCCACATCATCTGAGAGCAGAGAGAAGCTGCCTTACATCATCCCCCAGCACAAGGATGGGGCTGATGCACAGACAGACAGACACACACACACAAAGCTGTCCTGGCCGTGTGCTCTGTGCTTGGCACAGGTGGTGCCCAGGGAAGGGGACACAGTGGCACCTGTGGGGTTTGGTGCTCAGGAACAGAGTCCTTTTTGTGCATGGGCCCCCCTGCCCTGCATTCCCAGCTGGGTTATGGCTCTGTGGCCACCAGCACCTGCTGCCACACTGATCTGCTGTCCCAGTGTCCCCTCACAAGTGGCCCCAGCTGTTCCCTTCACTGCCCCATCAGCTGCTCCCCCCAGAACTCCTCAGCTCACAGCACCCCTGGCTCTGCAGTGCGGGGTCACACTGCCCCAAAGAGGGGCTGGGGGCCAAGTGCTGCAGGTTTGCAGTGTGCCAGCCATGCCCAGCCCCGGGGGCAGAGCCCACCTCACCCTGGCTCTCTGCCAGCTGCCGGTTGCGGGAGTTCTGCTGGATCAGGCGCTTCATCTCCTCCAGCTCCGCGTGCTCCCGCTGGTGGTGCCGCTTCAGGTTCTCCACGTGCTGCACCATCACCTCTGCTGCCCGGCTCATCCTGGCCTCCTGCAGCCAGCCAGGATGGGGATCAGGGCTCCTAAACGTCCATAGGAGCCAGCCCTGCCAGTCCCTCCCCGTCCTGGGAGTCCTTCCTCTCTCCCCTGTAATCCTTACCATTATCTAAGAAATTTAGGATTACCTAAACTGAAGGTCTTCAAAGCCTTAAACAAGAGTTAAAAACCCTTTTAGTTTCTGCTAAAGTCCACAGGCCATTACCCTGCATCCCCTAAATGCAACTTAGGTGCTTTCATTAAGCTAGGACCTTCCATTTACTGGACAGATGGGCTTTGATCCCATGATAGTTAACAGTTGTATGCCCTAACCAACAGGGCTCTGCCTAAGGCTCCAGTACACAGGGAGTGCCAGGGAGAGACACATATTAAACATTTCCAAATATAAGCGAGCTTGGAGAACCCATTTAAGCTGTTTTACAATGTTGAAAGAGTCAGAGAAGGATGCAGAAAGTTCGCAAAGTCCCTCTCCCAGCCCAGGGTGAAGGGACTGTCTCGGTGCCCATGGACATGCAGATTTGGGACAGAAGGAGAATTTTTTTGTCCAGGACAAGAAATTCAGGAGAAATCTAGGGGGACAGAGAGCTGCTTGAAGCCCCACGTGCCTGTGCAAAGCCTTGGCCAAGGTGCATCCCCTTCCCACTCCCAGGGGTGGGTGGATGGATCCCTTGCACCCTGCTAAGCACAAAAGTGAGGTCAAGAACTGTGAGGAGGAGGAACAAACCCCAGCAAGCCCATGGGCTTCACCATCCCCAAGCCCATCTGTAGCACCTCCATCGCTCCCACACTGGGCTGTGACACACCTGGTGCACAGCCCCCAGCTTCTCTGCAGCACTGGTTGCCCTCTCCACAGCTGCTGCCAGCACGGCCAGGTTGTGCTGCAGCTGCTCCAGCGTCTCCTTGCAGCCTACACTGGCACAGGATCGGCCCAGCCTCTGTGGGGGGAAGGATGGAGCTGCTGGAGCTGCCACTGTGAGCTCTCCACACCCCTCTGGGGCTGGGTGACGTGCCAGCCCCCTGCCCTGGTGCCCACCTACCTCCAGGGCAGCCCGGCACTGCCCCAGCTCCTCCTGGATGTTTTCCTCCGCTGCATCCCGTGCCCGTCTCTCCACCTGCACCCGCTGCTGCAGGGTGAACACGTCGCAGCGAAAAGCCAGGGCCAGGTGGGCAAAGGCTGCCTGCAGGGTGACAGGTGGGACACAGGGGCAGAAGCAAAGCCACCAGGGCCACGTGCTGCTGTCCCCAAGGCACAGACAGACCTCCCAGCATGCCAGCATCAGGGCAGTGAAGATAATCAGCCCTTGCCTTGCCCCAGCACCCTTGGGCTGCTGCAAGTGGGGACAGTCCCCAGGGAGATGCAGCTGATAACGCCCCCCAGCAGCTGATAACGATCCTGAGCCCTCCTGGCAAGAGCACAGCCGGGCAGACGCCAGCCCTGCCCGCCCTCGCTGGGTCCTGGCTGGTGGCTGAGCCTGACTCAGCCCTGGCACTCGCAGGGAAATGATTTTTATTAGCGAGGCTCCCGGGCCAAGGGCGCCCTTCAGCAGCTGCAGAGCACTCTGTGGGATTGCTGGGCACGCAGAGGACACGCTCATGGAAACGCAGCTGCCTCCAAGTGCCAAAAGCATCTCTGGGAAAGGGTTTGGGAGGTGGCTGCCAGGGCCCTGCGGTGCCTGAAGGAGCAGGGCACAGCCATGGCACTGAGCCAGCACGGTGTCCCCGTCCTGGTGTCCCCTTTCCCCAGCCCACCCAGGGCCCCCAGCAGCCCTCACCTCCAGATCCTGCTCGGTCAGAGCCACCCTGCAGAAAGAGAAGTGCTGTCAGGGATGGGGGCTGCAGGCTGAAAATGCCCTTGCCCTGCTCCCAGGGGTGCCAGCCACCCTGAGAAGGGGGAAGGCAAGTGCCCATTGTGTGGGCAGCAGCTCTTGTGCAATGGAAAAGGAGGGAAATCCAATCTCTGAGCCCTGCTGTGCCCTGGGACCCCCCTGCCCTGAGGGATGCAGGTGCTCCCTGCTCTTACCTGTGCAAGCCAAGCCTGTCCAGCACTGAGAGCTCACTGGGGAGGCTCAGCAGCGGCTCCTCCAGGGTTTCTGCATCTGCAGGAAGGCAGTGGGGCCACAGGAGACCACACATGAGGGCTTTCCCTGGGCCTTCCCTCCTCCCTCTGCCCTCCTGTCCTGGCAGGGGGTGCTGCCCATGCTTTGGAACCCTCCCAATCCTTCCCCCAGCATCAGGGGGGCTCTGGCTCCCCCCAGGCCATCTCCCCTTGCCAATGTCCCCACCAGGGGAGATGAATTCCATCAGAACACGTTCCCATGCTCATCCCCAGCTACTCCAAACCTCCCCCAAAGGGGGCCCAGCTGGGATGTGGGATGGGGACTCATCCTCACCTCCTTTAGGGCTGTCACTGTCCCCAGGGTGCACAGGCTGCTCCTGCCCGGCCCTGCCCGGCTCCTGAGAGGCACAAAGGGGATGCTGGGGCAAAGCTCTCTGCACAGCACCCCAGAGGAGCAGCACAAAGGGGCTGGGGCCTGCCTGAGCCTGAGGTACCAGGCAGGGTCTGTCCCCAGCTGTCCCCTCCCCTCCATCTCACCTGGCTGGTTTGCTCCACGCTCTGCTCGCTCCTGGCCAAATCCAAATCCAAATCACCACCTGGCTGTCCCTGGGCACTGCTCATCCTGCCTGGGGACAGAAAGGGAGCTGGGCAGCAGGGACCCCTCCCAGCCTGACACCACCTCAGGAGAGACCCCCAAAACTGCCACTGGCACTTCTGCAGCCTGCAGGCTGCCAAGGGACTGCCAGGCACCCCCCAAAATATCCCTGTGGGACTCAGGGAGCTGGAGCCAAGCTGGGCCAGGGCAGGGGAGGAGGGCAATGGATGCAGTGCAGAGGGTGGGGTACAGCTGGTGAGGCAAACCCAGGGGATGGGGGTGG